AATAATAAAGCTACCATATACTAAAAATTAATTTGTAAAAATTAGCAAAGATCTTAACGCGAATTTTATGAAATAAGAAAGTAATGTTTTTATACAAATTTTTAATCAATCAGCACAAATAAATAAAAATAATATTAAATTTTATCTCTTTTTTTATTTAAAAAATACTGATAATATAGTAAAATACATAAGAAAATTAGATTTTTCATTTTTGTTTTTTTTTATAGTAATATTTTAATAACATTGTAGGCACAATTTCTCAATATATTAACATGAAACTACCCAATTAACATAATAGTTCTCATTCTGATATAACTATTTTTTCACATCAAAATTTTAAAAAACATTAATTAAGATAAAGAAAATTTGAATATTTCGAAGACTTTATTTATGAATTTGACTACATTTAATTAGTATTATGCATTTGTAAAACTTCATCGAAATTGAACTTGGGTAGCCTTCTAAAGCTGTGTATATTATTATTATAATATTTTTCACAATAAATTATTTAAATGTTTCTAAAGATACTTATTAGCATTAATAATAATAAATATGACGTTTTCCATTCATATGTGATAATTCTAAACCAACTGCGATTTAAAAAATTAAAATTTTTTTCTTAATGTAAGACTTTCAGAATTAATGGATAGTGAACTTATACACATGTATGTTATATTATATTTCTTATCGAAAACATTGAAAAAATTATTGTTTGTCGGATTTAGATTTTAACGTTTGACATCTTAAACAAAGATTGAGATTAAAATTGCATTTGCAAACATTTTGAATAATCTCTATTTCATATTTATTTCATTGTCTACTTATCGATTTCTATCTATTTATATTGATCTAATATCTATTTCATTGTCTATTTATATTGATAAAATTTCGCACAAAGAGAATGATTCGCAAAGAGAGTATTTATTTATAACTTATTAAATCAAGAGCAAATTGAACAATCTTCATAAACAAATAATACTGTTTACTACTCATCAATATATTCTTGCCTTGTACAGGGTGTCCCAAAATAATCACCAAATATTTCATGGGCAAGTAGAACGGACTAAACTGAGTTGAAAAGTTCTTTACCATTTTGCAATTTCTACAATAGCTATTAATTACTAAAAATTGCCGAAAATTGGTCATCAATAATTTTTACTCAAATATTATCAACTTTGTAGAAAAACTGCGAGAGACGAAAATTGTTTATTTTCTTCTCATAAAACTCTAAGAATTTTTTCAGAATTTTTTAATACCGTATTTTCTCATGTTGATAAAAATAAGAAAATGCAGTACTAAAAAGTTGATAAAAAATTCTGAAAAAATTCTTAGAGTTTTATGAGAAGAAAATAAACAATTTTCGTCTCTTGCAGTTTTTCTACAAAGTTGATAATATTTGAGTAAAAATTATTGATGACCAATTTTCGGCAATTTTTAGTAATTAATAGCTATTGTAGAAATTGCAAAATTCTATATGAAAACAAAATAAACAATTTTTGTCTGTTGCAGTTTTTCTGTAAAGTTGATAGTATTTAAGTAAAAAATTATTGAAGACCAATGTTCGACAATTTTTAATAGTTAATATCTTGTTAACTATTGCAAAAATTGCAAAATGGTAGACAACTTTTCGATTTAGTTTAGTCCGCTCTACCTGCCCATCAAATATTTGGTGATAATTTTGGGACTCTCTGTATATCATGAATCTTTAATCTAATGAATAATTTAAAGTCACACTAAAATATTGCACTAAAAGTGAAAAAAATGCGTTGACATACCATTACAGCATTCATTTTGAAGTCCATCATATTTTTCACCTCCATGGCCATTTCGCGAACGAGAACGAGACCATCCCTTTTTATGACGTTGGCTTCTACTTCGTGATATTTCTAAGCATAAAGTAATAAAAATCAGTACATGAGCAATAAAATTACTAGATTTTTGTATTAAAAAGATAATTTTGAAACAATAAAACTCTTATTGGATTGTTCATGTAAATACGCAATTAATAGGAAATAGAGCTCATAATGGTCGAAGCCTCGAAGCTGGATCTTTAGTACTTAAATAATTCGTTGTAAATATATACTACGTATCAAATTCTGCCAAACTGCGTGCCGAAATTGATTTTTGATCTTGTAACACTATACTGATAGAACTACCATAAATTAAGGGGATCCTAAAGCCATCTGTATTACCGACTAAATTGTAATTTTTGTATAACAATCACTTTTTCCTCTTTTATAGATTCGAAAACTCTTTTCTAGGATTAAAGTATACGCATTAATACGTATCTGTGAGGTGGAGTTTTGCTAAAAACAAAAAATTTTTCTTAAGATTTTAATTTCGAAATTTTTTGTCGTTCTTGGCATAAATTCCACCTCACAGACACGTATTAATGTGTATACTTTAATCCTGGAAAAGAATTTTCGAATCTGTAAAAGAGGAAAAAAGTAATTGATTTAGGATCCCCTTAAATTGCTTAGCAAATTTAATAATTTGATGCTCATAGGCATTTTGTAGCGTTTTTCATTGGCAAAACTAGTGCGCACTTAGTGAACATTAAAGCTGTTGTACTCTGTTCTAATCTAAATATAAAAGTGAGATATCTCAATTGATAAAATGCTCAAAATTTATTTTATCAAATAGCACAATAAAATGTATGAAATATTTCACAGTTTAAGGCCCGTTTCTACCACTTTTGCCTTAATCTCCAGTTTAGCCAAACTTTCGTTAAAACTAAACCTAGATTTGGCGCTGATTGGTTTCTACCACCGTTACAATGCAAACGTTTAGCTAAACTTATAACCTATGTGTCATAACTTATAGAAATTACTAAATCTCAGTCGTTGATTGGTCCAATATTGGTTCTAACAGTATTGTACGGCAACGGTCAGCATCGTGTTATGTGAATACTAGTGTAAGAAACATAACGTTACAAATTAAATTAAAAATGAACGTAGAAGACATAATAAGTAATAAACAACGTAAATGTGCTGCGAATTTTCGGAGGTCGAGAAAATTATTTTAATAGATTTAACAACTTATTATAAAGATGTGATAGAAAATAAAAGATCTGATATGATAACCTGTAAAAAGAAGGACAAATATTGGAAAGTAATAGAATAAAAGTTTAATAGTACGTCTTCTACTGAATTTCGAAATTCATCAATTGCTCTATAGGAGATACGGCTTTATTTCTTAAAAAAGAATTATTTGTATTAATTTTAAATTTTAAATTTATATTTGTAATTGTAAATATTCGTAAAATAATTTCAGAAAAAAATTTATTTATAAATTTATTTTATAATTTTTTCATTTACTTGTCAGTCCCGAATTCTAATTCATTTTTAATATTTTCTAAAACTTCTAACACTGATGCTTTACTAAATCGAAATCGCGTTTTAAACTCTATATCGTTCCTCAAAATAATTAATACGTTGTTTAAATCTTCTTTTTCTTCTATTAAATTGTTCAATAATAATATCCTCGTCATCGGAAG